CTAACTCTGCCTTTCAAATAAAAGACTTTTTTTTATCTAGATTAAGTAAATTATGGTTTATGTATACAGTGGACCTGTGTATGACTCATGAAAAATAATGTGTTCTTTACATTAAGTGGATAAGTAACAAGAAGTAAAAGAAATGCTAATAATATGTTCACATTTTGGTATACGTATGTACAGTTTAAAAATTTAGGGCAGGACATGCAGTGAGTTGGTTATTTTTGAATGGTACTGTTACGAATAGTTTCTATTTTTTATTTTTTTAATTATCTGAACATTTTTTCTATAGTAAACAGGTATCGTTAGTAAGAACAAAAAGTTCAGTCACAAGTGTCTGGTACGGAGCAGCTGAGCCCGGCAGCGTGGCCTCAGGGTGAAGGGTGTCGGCCGTGCTTGGCGGTGCTGCCGGCTGGGGTTGTTCCAGGAGCTGGATCCACACAGCAGCGTGCCCTCCGGCCTGGACCCCTGCTGGTGTTCTGGATAGATAATACCTGTCCTAAAAATAGCCCCGCCTGCCAGACCAGCCCCTCCTCTCACTTTCCCCAACAGCCCTGGGAAGGAGGGGCTATAAATATCTCCGTTCTGCAAAGGGGAAACCGAAGCTCTGGAAGGCAAAGCAGCCTGCTCAAGGTCAGCAAGCAGTAGCAGCCTCTGCGCTGGACTTCAGCACGGTGCACCTGACCACTGTGCTGCTCTTCCTGCCGCGGCCAGGCCCTGGTGACAAGAGCACTGTGCAGTAGGGTGCACAGACCTGTCCATCAGCCACCTGTGAAGACCTGCTGACCAAGGCCCCGACTCTGAACATAAGAACCAGCACAGAGAGCAAGCTCCCCTGGGGCCCCAGAGCCACCAGCCCAGCCTGCTCAAATTTTGATTCAAAAAATTTTCAAAATTGGGGGCTTGGGTTTTTTGTGTTTTTGTCTTATCATAGCAGTCAGTTCCTAGAGGAACAGCCCTGAGAACTGGAAGAGCACCGATCCCCGAGACTTATTTCAGGGTTCAAGTCCACCAGAGCTGGCCTCAGTCAGCGGAGTCACTGCTGCTGCCAGGGCTGTCACGGCTCCTCCTGGGCGGAATCGCTGCCTCTGTGGTCCACGCCTCCCAGCTGGGAGACAGACGCTGGACAACAAGGAAACTGAGGCAGTGGGTGAGGGAGGAGGCGTGGGGCCACGAGAGGACAGGCAGTCAGGGCTCGGGAGAGGACTTTGGAGTGAGCTTGAAAATGAGGTGAGTGTGGCCTGTGAGAAGATCCAGCCACCACAAAGCAGGCGAGGGGAACAGAGTGTGAATCAGGAACGAGGGCAGCAGGAAGACAGTGCAGGGGGTGGGGTGCGGGCAGCAGGGCTCACGGTGACGTAAGGTCCTCTACGCAAGACATGGGAATTAGAGCTTGTGCTCGTGTCAGTTACAGGAACCATCAGGAGCAAATAAGAAACAAGTGTCGGGAGAGATGGGTGTTGTGGCCTCTGCTGGATTCAGAATACGAAGGGAGGGCCGGCGCCACAGCTCACTAGGCTAATCCTCCACCTTGCGGCGCCGGCACACCGGATTCTAGTCCCAGTCGGGGCACCGGATTCTGTCCCGGTTGCCCCTCTTCCAGGCCAGCTCTCTGCCGTGGCCAGGGAGTGCAGTGGAGGATGGCCCAGGTGCTTGGGCCCTGCACCCCATGGGAGACCAGGAAAAGCACCTGGCTCCTGGCTCCTGCCATCGGATCAGCACGGTGCGCAGGCCGCAGCGCGCCGGCTGCGGCAGCCATTGGAGGGTGAACCAATGGCAAGGGAAGACCTTTCTCTCTGTCTCTCTCTCTCTCTCACTGTCCACTCTGCCTGTCAAAAAAAAAAAAAAGAATACGAAGGGAGGTGTTCCGGGCAGCCTTGGGTGCCCGTGTGCCCCCGCATCTTCCTTTGCAGGCTCTGCTAAAATCAGCCCCCAACACGTTAGCTCACTTGTTTATGCAGCCAGTCGACGACACTGGGCTCACTGGGAAGAAGGATTCACTGAATGGCTGTACATAAAATACTTTCACATGTTAGCGTGATGGGTGTTCATCCCCATGTTTCTTTCTTGTTAAACAACCATTTTCTTCTTAAGCACCCAAAAAAAAGGTTGGGGGAATACAGAAGATACGAAGAAGAAAATAAAAACCGGCCGGCGCCGCGGCTCACTAGGCTAATCCTCCACCTAGCGGCACCTGCACACCGGGTTCTAGTCCCGGTTGGGGCGCCGGATTCTGTCCCGGTTGCCCCTCTTCCAGGCCAGCTCTCTGCTGTGGCCTGGGAGTGCAGTGGAGGATGGCCCAGGTGCTTGGGCCCTGCACCCCATGGGAGACCAGGAGAAGCACCTGGCTCCTGCCATCGGATCAGCGCGGTGCGCCGGCCGCGGTGGCCATTGGAGGGTGAACCAACGGCAAAAGGAAGACCTTTCTCTCTGTCTCTCTCTCACTGTCCACTCTGCCTGTCAAAAAAATAAAAAGAAAATTAAAAAAAATAAAAACCACTGTTAATGGTTAGTGCTCTGCTGTGTATTTTCCCATTCTATTTTTAATGTGATTGGACCCAAACTAAGTTTTGAGTGGCAATCTGTGATTTTCACTTAATATAGCATAAAACTTTTGCATGTCTTAAAAAAAAAAAAGATTTATATTTTGAAAGAGTTACAGAGAGGTAGAGACAGAGAGAAAGAGGTCTTCCATCTGCTGGTTCACTCCCCAAATGGCTGCAGCGGCTGCAGCTGAGCCGATCCGAAGGCAGGAGCCAGGAGCTTCATCTGGGTCTCCTATGTGGGCTTTTGGGGCCCAAGGAGTTGGACCATCTTCCGCTGCTTCCCCAGGCACACCAGGGAGCTGGATTGGAAGTAGAGCAGCCGAGACTTGAACCAGCGCCCATATGGGATGCTGGCTTTCCAGGCCGGGGCTTTAACCTGCTGCACCACAGTGCTAGCCCCACTTTTGCATGTCTTCTCTTGGGCATTTGGGTTATTTATATGTTTTCTCTAATAAGAAGAATAGTTTGGGGGCCCTCACTGCACAGTGAGTCACACTATTACTTGCAACACCAGCATCCCCTACCGCAGTACAGGATCAAGTCCTGGCTGTTCTCCTTCGGTCCAGCTCCCTGCTAATGCACCTGCAAAAGCAGCGAGTGATGGCCCAAATACTTGGGCTGCTGCCACCTGTGTGGGAGACCCGGATGGAGCTCCTGGCTCCTGGCTTTGGCGTGTCCCCACCTTGCCTGTTGCAGCCATCTAGGGAGTAAACAAGTGGATGGAAGATCTTTGTCTCTCCTTTTCTTTCTTTCTTTTATTTTTTGAGATTTTATTTATTTATTTGACAGGTAGAGTTACAGACAGCGAGAGAGAGTGTCTCTCCTTTTCTTCCTGTCACTCTGCCATTCAAATAAATCTTTATTAAGAAATGGTGCTTTAGTGCACATCCTTGGAGGTCTGTCTTGAATCATGCCCGATGCGTGTTCTTGAGTGGATTTGGTAGGACAGAGGCATGTGCTTATCCGTGACTTGTGCTGCAGTTTGCCAGATTCCCTTTGGAGGGATTGCCTCAGATTCCCATCAGTATGTGCAGCACGCCCGTCTCCGCAGTGCTCAGCTCTGCCCAGTGTTGTCATTCTTACCATGCCTGCGGTATGGTCACTCAGAGTGGTTGCTTCCTTTAGTTCCTTGTCTCTCAAGCCTCACAGTTCTTATGTTACGGGTTGTTGGTTTTTTGGCTTTTGTTTTTTAATTTCTCATGGATTTCAGAATTTTTTATGCTTAGGATGCTTATAATTTGGATAACTGAGTTTGACTTTTTTCCATTTTACGGGTACAGGGATTTTGGTCCTGTAAATGATCCCTGTGTTCATGTGCTTTCCTGTACCTTAGAACATGTTGGAACGTGTGTGTAACACAAAACTGTTTAAAATAGTGGACACATTCAGTAAAATTTGTTTTAAAGATTTATTTATTTATTTGAAAGAGTTACACAGAGAGAAGGAGAGGCAGAGAAAGAGAGAGAGAGAGAATGGTTTTCTATCCACCAGTTCACTCCCCAACTGGCTACAACAGCTGGAGCTGCGCCAATCTGAAACCAGGAGCCAGGGACTTCTTCCAGGTCTCCCACGTGGGTGCAGGGGCCCAGGACCTGGACCATCTTCTGCTTTCCCAGGCCATAGCAGAGAGCTGGATCAGAAGTGGAACAGCCGGGACTCGAGCTAGCACCCATATGGGATGCCAGCACTGCAGGCAGTGGCTTTACCTGGTATGCTACAGCGCTGGCCCCACATTCAATAAAATTTAACCCAGTCATTATTCCATTCAGAGATGCCCATCTTGAAGTACTCTAAAACTTCTAGGGGGCAGTGCTGTGGCTTAGGGGGTAAATCCGCTGCCTGCAGTGCCGGCATTCCATATGGGCGCTGGTTCAAGTCCCGGCTGCTCCGCTTTGATCCAGCTGTCTGCTATGGCCTGGGAGAGCAGTAGAAAATGGCCCAGGTACTTGAACCCTGCACCTACATGGGAGACCCAGAAGAATCTCCGAGCTCCTAGCTTCAGATCAGCCCAGCTGCACCATTGCAGCCAATTGAGAAGTGAACCAGCAGATAGAAAATCTCTCTCTCTGTCTCTCTGCGTCTACCTCTATAACTCTGCCTTCCAAATAAATAAATCTTCTTTAAAACAAACAAACAAACAAAAACTTCTATAAATTAATCATTTAAGATTGAGGGAAATACGATTATTCAGCCTTCCCACCCTTGGTGAGTTGATGCCATCCTAATGATGTCAAACAATTCTCCCAGCTTAGCTCCGTTTGATCGTGTCTCATTGCCAGACCTGCACTGCTCACAGTTGTCTTCCAAACTGGCTTTCTTTCTTGCCTGTTACTTGAAAGACACAGGCCAGTTTTATCAGGTCTTTGGATTTGCAGATACATTCGTGTTGTTGACACGATTGCTGTGGTGGTCATTGTCTGGAAAGGCCCTCAGTCTTGTGTCTGTTCTCTTCAGATGTGGAGCACACCGGAGCCACCAGCGAGTTCTACGACAAGTTCACAATTCGCTACCACATCAGCACCATATTTAAAAGCCTCTGGCAAAACATAGCTCACCACGGCACCTTCATGGAGGAGTTCAAGTGAGTACGGGGCCCCTGCCGTCCCGCTTGCTGCAGATGGCACGGGAGAGCCGTCGAGCCGTCACTGCTCAGTTCTTCTTCGGTGCTGGGTTTCAGCCTCCCTGATGCTCACCTGAGCGCTGAGTGTGGGCAGGGGTACGGAATGTCCATGCCTGCGACGTGTTTTGGAGCTGTGGATTTGTCAGGACACTTGGGGAGGGCGTAGATAAATGCTCTCGGATACACCGAGAGGATGCGCTGAGTGTGTTTCAGTGTTTCTGATGATCACAGCGTTAAGCTGTCAGAGTGACAGAAATGAGATGTTACAGCCCTCTTGTATGGTAATCAAGCTTCAGACGCAGAAATGCGTGGAGAACTTCAGATTTAGAAGTTTCATTTAGACAATTTAGAATTGTCATTTGAAGTGTCTGTCTTTGTAGTGCGGCCCTAAACTTTAACTGAGGACTTGAAATTGCAGTGACTGCCTAACCTGGGTGTCAGTCCTTCCATCCCAGTTGTCTGTCAGTGCCCCAGAAAGGGAGACAGGTGCCAGGGCTGGATGCCTGCTTGTTCTTCAGAGGATGCTTTACCCATCCACCCGCACCCCCTGCAGCCGGGTTAGGCCTTTGGTCTAGTTTAAGCTGTCACTCAGGAACTGAGTTCCTTATCAGTCACACGTCCATTGCATTTCCAGCAGAGTAAAGTCTTTAAGTTAATTCTTTGTTTCCATGAACTGCTCTTCGAGGCAGGATTATGTTCCACCACAAGCCTGACGCCACATTAGGAGACCAAGCGGGCCCATGGCGTGGTCTGCGCGGTGCAGACTGGGAGGCCTATGGGCTCCTGGAGGCCCCCAGCCTCGTTCACCAGAGTTCCTGGCTGCACAGTTGTAGGTCCTGAAGTGAGCTGCTTTCTCCCCCACTACCCTGGCAGAGAGTGTGGCAGACGTAGGGCCAAGCTGTGCGCGTCACCACCAAGTCCCAGCTCACACCCTGCCTTCTCAGTATTGCGGTTCCAGTTTTCCTCCAGTGTCTTCCTTGTGACGAGGAGCGGCTCTGTCAGCTGATTTATCTGACCTGTGCTTTCTTTGTGTGGCCGCGGGGCAGGGTGGGGGTCTGCAGTGACATCCTCTCTGCTTAGAACACTGAGGCGGCCAGCGGAGGGGCCAGGGAGCCTGCTCCCCAGGCCGGAGGAAGTCATCGTTTGCTGGTTTTCACAGTGTGACTCCTGCTCTTGCCAGACGTAAGCCGCTAAGGGAGTCAGCTCACAGCATTCTGGACGTCTTAGCAGTTGGCTCTCGTGAACGGTGCAGGGTGGCTCCAATGCGCCACTTGCGTGAGCTTGTTGTCACAGTTCATTAGAAGGAGATCAAAACCTGGAGAGAGCTGTGGTGGTCCTGGAACTCATCTCCAGCTGGCCCGTGCCGAGGAGGGCGATGGTGGCCCTCGGGAGGAGGCTGGGGTCTCTGGAGCCTGCGGACGCTTGACCACGTGCCCTGCGATTGCCTCTCCAGCTCCGGGAAGCAGTTTGTCCGCTACATCAACATGCTGATCAACGACACGACGTTCCTGCTTGATGAGAGTCTGGAGTCCCTGAAGCGGATCCACGAAGTGCAGGAAGAGATGAGGAACAAGGAGCAGTGGGAGCAGCTGCCCCGGGTGAGCATGGGGCCGGGGCGGGGCCAGGGCTGGGGCCAGGGCCGGGGCCAGGGCCGGGGCGGGGCCAGGGCTGGGGCCGGGGCCGGGGCCGGCTGCTGCGTGGGCCGCACCTGGCACTCCACCTGTGGCTCGGCAGCATCACCAGGATTGCCCTGCCTACGGGCTACCCAGTGCGGCAGGGAGAAAAGACAGCATTTTACCTGAGGTTAAGAAGTAGACCGAGGGGCCAGTGCTGTGGTGTCAGGGCTGGGCCTCCGGGTGCCACTTCCAATCCAGCTCCCTGCTGATGAGCCTGGGAAAGCAGCAGAGGATGGCCCAAGTGCTTGGGCCCCTGCACCCACATGGGAGAGCTGGAAGAAGCTCCTGGCTCCTGGCTTCGGCCTGGCCCAGCCCCAGCTGTTGCAGCCATTTGGGGAGTAAACCAGAGGATGAAGGATATCTCTATCTCTCTATCTCTCGCTCCCTCTCTCCCCCTCCACCCTCCAGCTCCCCCACCTTCTCTCTCTCTAGCTCTGCCTTTCAAAGAGTGTTTTTGGAGAAGAACTTTTATTTTCTGAATGTATAAGATTTGTGAAAGCAGCTAGGACATAATCTGTTGAAATCTGGCTGCTGGACAAGAATTTGACGATGCGGTCGTCTGCACTCTGCTGTGGAAACCACTCGGGGTTCTGATGGCGCGTTTTCCTTTCAGTTGGTCTTGGGGTTTTTGGTTTGTTTTATTTTTAAGATTTCATTTATTTATTTATTTATTTGAAAGGCAGAGTTAGAGGGAGGGAGGGGAGAGAGCGAGCTTTCCACCTTCTGGTCCACTTCCCAAATGGCCGTAACAGCCGGAGCTTGGCCAGGCAGAGCCAGGAGCCTGGAGCCCCATCTAGGTCTCCCACGTGGTTGGCAGTGTCCTGAGCACCTCAGCCATCTTCCACTTTCCCAGGCACATTAGCAGGGAGCTGGACCGGAACAGAGCAGCCAGGCTGCAGCTGGCACTCACGTGGGATGCTGACGTCTCAGGCGGTGACTTAACCTGCTGCGCCACGACATCGGCCCCTGGATTGACCTTGGTGTTTCTATTCAGTTGTGTGAGCAGAGAGGCGGCCTGCTTGGCCAGGCTCCAGGGACACTCGGGCTGTGTGTGGGACAAGTAGCCCGTGCCCAGCACAAGGTGCAGCAGTCTGGCTGCTTCCTCAGGCAGTTTTGGGACCTTGACAGCTACTGGGGACTTGATAGATTGGTTCACTCCTTCCTGGTGTTACCAGACTCAGAATCAGAACTGCTCTCCAAGAGGGGTTCTCCTGCCGAATGGGGAGGACTGTTTCCCGGGAGCGTTCTTGCAGCCACAGTAGCGGGAGTTCTGACGTCATAGAGACATTAGTGGAAAGCTCTCACCTACGTGTGCCGTGTTCATGAGAGTTTGACACCTCGTGTGGCCACACAGAGCTCACGTAGGGCTTTGGGGCTTCGACCAGGTGTGGGAGGGCTGGCTTCCCCAGACCCACACCCCCACGCTCCTGGAGCCCCTGGTTGCAACACTGAGGTTCTCTAGCGAGCGTCTTTTTTCTCAACACTGTGCCGTACCCACCAGCATCCATCCTGCCCCACCCCGTATCCACCTCTTCTGCCGCCTGCCACTGTGCCCTAGCTTTCCCCTGAAGCTCCTGGCTCCTCAGGCGGGGACAGACTGGCCGAGCACCCCCGCCTCCCCATCACAGCCCTGAGGCTCCCAGAGCTGCCTCCTGGGCCGAGTCAGCAGTGCCAGCCCTGGTCTCCTGGCCCCTTCCCGTCATGCTGGGAGGCACATGAGGCAGAGGTCACAGAGCCCCAGCGCTGGTGTCCAGAGTGACCTGGGTTTGAGAACTGCACGGTGGCTCCAGTCATCACTTGGGTTGCCACATCCCCAAGTCGGAGGGCCTGGGTCACGTCCCGGCTCCTCCACTACCTGCTGCACTTCCTGGGCAGCAGGGGACGGCTCAGGTCTGGGTCACTGCCACCCGCGGGGAGGCCGGGTGGAGTTCTGGGCTCCTGGATTCAGTCTGGTCCAGTCTTGGCTGCTGCAGGTGTTTAGGCAAAGAACAAGCAGACGGAAAACAGTGCTCGCTCTTGCTCTCTCTCTCACGGCCTTTCAAATAGAATAAAATGATGAGGGCTGAGTCAGGTTTCTCGGGGGAGATGAGCGTCCCTTCTCTAGCACCAGAGTGTGGCAGGGACGTCCTCTGTGCAGTTCACGTCCTGCATTCTGCATGGAAGTTGATGGCACCTTAGCACGAGGAAACTGGGCCTCGTGGGTGTTAAATGATGAGCCAAAGGCACATGCCTCCAACTCCTAGAGTTCTGGTGCAGCGTGCAGCGGAGTCGCCTCTTGGCCGGTGCTGTGGCACAGCAGGTTAAGTTGCGGCCTGTGCGCCGGCGTCCCATATGAGTGTTGGTTCAAGTCCTGGTTGCTCCACTTCCGATCTAGCTCTCTGCTGATGAGCCTGGGAAGGCAGAGGAAGGTGACCCAGGTCCCTGGGTCCCTGCCACCCACGTGGGAGACCCAGAGGAAGCTCCTGGCGGTAGCCTAGCCCAGCCCTGGTCATTGCAGATATCTGGGGAGTGAACCAGCAGATGAAAGATATATCTCTCTGTCTCTCCTTCTCTCTCTCTAACTCTGTCTTTCAGATAAAATAAATAAGTAAATCTTAAAAAAAAAGAGGTAGCCTCGCGATTTGCGAGATTTGCCGTGCTGGGCTATGGCCTCGTTCGTGGGGCGTGGACTCTGATCACACACTTTCCCAGTCGGAGCCGGCTGTGGTTTGCCCTCCCGTGTGGCATTCGGCGGGCAGGTGGCCGGTGCTGAGGTTCACTTGGCTCTGTTCGTGTTTCCTAGGACCAGCAGCAAGCCCGGCAGTCCCAGCTGGCCCAGGACGAGCGTGTGTCCCGCTCTTACCTTGCCCTGGCCACCGAAACTGTGGACATGTTCCACATCCTCACCAAGCAGGTCCAGAAGCCGTTCCTCAGACCCGTAAGTAGCCCCTGGGGCGTCTGTCCTGTCTGCCGGCAGCCACTGCCCAGCTCAGTGTTGAAACCTGGGAGTTCAGTGTCACGGTCACAGGTGCAAGGTGTCCTGTACTGATCCGCTTCCCAGTTAGGCTGACCGACGCCCAAGGTTCTCTGTTGGTAGACGAAGGGACCGCCTCTCTAATGTCACTCCACAGTGAGTGCAGTCGCTCCCAAGATGACTTCGTGCACGGTGTGCTTCAGCAGCACCCTGGATCATTAATGCAGAAGTAGGACGTATTTACCAGCACTGCTTCCCTCCCATGTTGTGTTTATAGGAGAAGGATCAGGTGACGTGGCTGGAAACTGGAGGACGTGGACTGGAGCAGTTCTCTTAGATGTAGGTTTGTTAAGCTTAGGAAGCCAGAGATCAACGAGAGCCATCAGGGTTCATGGTAGATCAGGGGTGGTCAGTGTTCGACCTTGACACGATTAAGGTGGCGCAGGCCCTGTTTCTGAAAGCGAAGCTGAGTGACATAACTGCCGCGGCTGCCTCAGTCCCCCGGCCACACGGCAGCGAGGGACGCACCCGGCGTCGGAACCGTCTGCTGTGTGGAGAGGGGTTTCTGTTACCAGGGGGCTGGTGTCCGCTGACTTTCTGTGTTCCCACTTCTCTCCATCCACGGCTGAGCTGTGTGCGCTCGAGGGCGGGGCTCCTCCTCTCCTTCCCCTTCCACCTCCCACCCCCTCGGCCAGAGCGGAGGGAGGCCTGACCCCCCGAGCTCGCTGGCTGCCTCGGAGGAGGCTTGCCCAAGGGTCCGCCTCGCGGCTCTCCGTGAAGGGCAGCTCAGAGGCGCGGTCTCCCGCGGCCTCTCACCTCGACGACTGAAGCCCTCGGTGGAGGCCGCAGCTGGCGCAGGCAGTGTCCTACCAACCCTGACTCTGGACCCGGCTTCCTGGTGACAGTGCTAGTGGCAGAAAGCGAACTGTAGCAGACGGAAGCAGGATTACCAGAAAGCGGGTTTTTAGCTCTGAGTTCTTCATTTTGTAAAGGAAATGATTGAGAACTTGGTATCTTCACTTCAGTTAAAATAAACTTTTTTCAAGGCCTGCTTGTAGACTCGAGCCACGCCCAAGCACCCCGGCCCTGCTCCGTGGCCCCCAGTCCTGCTCCCACCTCTGCTGCGATGCTGCTGTGTCCTGCCCTGCCCTGTCTTCACCTTCCTTACCACCTTGCTCAAAACTCTGCGGCTTCAGAAACCTCAGCGTGTGTCCCATCCCGAGTCCTGTGTGTCACACTCGTCGACAGCCAGAGACAGGAAGGAGTGCTTTGTGCAAACCTACATTCTTGAAAAGCTGAGCCTAAGCTAAAGTTCGTGTGACCCCAGTCATTGCATTTCATGAAAACCTGTTCCTGCCGTGTTCGCTTTTCTGCTCTGAGCCAGGCTGCCTGTTTGGGGTTTGCTTAGCGCACTGCCTGGGCCCCGTGTCGCCTGGAGTTGCTGTGGGTCCGTTACTCTGACTTTCTAGCTGTCTTGCTGGCAAGATTTACAACTACTCAACATCCATTTTCTCTTCTTTGCTTCTGTCCTCTCTTTGTACCACACACGTATCAGGGACACCCTGGTAAAATGATACACACACTGGTGACCCAGGAACAGATGCAGACATTTTTATGACAGTAGGATTATTCACATTTTCCCATTTCTACCTGTTTCTCAGTGCATTTGGAGTTTTATAATGAAAAGCATCAGAGTGAGAAACGGCCGGCCTTTTGTTGCTACTTATAAACATCGCCAGCTGCCACACTGCCTCGAGGGCTGGGGTGAAGGGGCGAGCACTTGCCTGCCCTGCCGTCCTTCCTGGGCCGTGCCGCGGAGCGCGTGCGCCGGGTTTCTTCCTGTCGTTCATGGGATGGGAGCGGGGGTCTGGGCAGCATGACTCGTCTCGTTGTCCTGTCCTTTCCTAGGAGCTCGGCCCCCGCCTGGCTGCGATGCTGAACTTCAATCTTCAGCAGCTCTGTGGCCCCAAGTGCCGCGACCTGAAGGTTGAGAACCCTGAGAAGTACGGCTTCGAGCCAAAGAAGCTGCTGGACCAACTGACGGACATTTACCTACAGCTGGACTGTGCGCGATTCGCTAAGGCCATTGCCGACGACCAGGTCAGCGCCGGGGTCGCAGCCCCGTCAGAGCGGGCGGGGTTCAGGCGCCGGACTGCGCAGTTTGTGTCTCAGACCCTGTGCGCGTGCGTCTGCGCCCGGGCCTGCGCTTTCCCGCCTGCCATTGTGGTTTGCATTTGCCCTTCGTAAATGGCAGTGGTGACCGCGGGGGCCGGGGGCTCGCCCGCGGTGGACGGAGACGGTCAGTCGCTTCCCTTTGAGGCCGAGGGGCAGATCGGGCTCCCCAAGCTCTCCACTGAGTTACTGGGTTTTTTATTTTTATTTTATTAATTTTTATTTATTTGAAAGGCAGAAAGGAACAAATAGATCTAGTTTGCTGCCCAGATGACCACAACAGCCAGGACTGGGCCAGGCCAAAGCCAGGAGCCTGGAGCTCAGTCCACTTCTCCTGCAGCGTGGAAGGGCCGCAAGTCCTCGCGCCGCCACGGCTGCCTCCCAGGGCCTGCGTTACCAGGAGGCTGGAGCTTGGGGTGCCAGGACAAGAATCCAGGCACTGGTGTGGGTGTGGGCAGCCCAGGTGGCATCTTAGCCCCACACCAAATACCAGTCCCTCCACATCTTGCTAAGCACCTTATTCAACAAATCCATTCCATTCCCAGAGAGCCTATTCCCAGGGAGTCCAGACCTCCTCAAGGCGCCTGTTAGTGCTGCCTTTATTTTTATAGTCTCCTGTAACGGCACCTGTAGGGTTTTGTTTGTTTTAAATTTGTATTCATTGACTTGAAAGGCAGAGCGACAGACAGAGAGAGATCATTCGTCCTCTGGTTCACTCCCCAAATGCGCAGGCCAAAAGCGAGGAGCCCAGACCTCCATTCAGGTCCCCCAGGTCTGTAGCGGGGCGCAAGCACTTGGCCATCATCTGCCGCCTCCCAGGAAGCACGAGCAGGAAGCTTCCCTTGAGAGTGAGGAGCCGGGGCACACAGAGGCTGCGAGATTGCTCACGGTCACGGCAGGTAGCCCGGGACGGGTACAGCGTTAGTGTGGCCTTACCTGTCCTCCCGGCCTCCCCACTCCCTACCTAGCATGCCCAGAAAGTCTTGCGCCTGTTTCTGGGTCTCCACGTTCATCCCACTGCTTATCCGAGTGTTACTTAAGCCTCAGGCTACTCATCAGGAAGCGCTGTAGAGGCTGCCTCACTCGTATCTCACCCAGAGGAGTACTGTTGGGTAGAAGAGTGAGGGTACTTTTTTCTAAGAAAAAAACTGCCCTTTGGTTTCTGCTAATGCTTACTACACTGCTGTATCTCAGATGCGGACTTACGAGCCAGCTCACTGGTTACAGTCGCATCTTTTGGGGAATGGAATGGCTGACGTTTTCCGAGGCTAAGTGCTTGTTACCGCGAGGAGGTCGTGGTGAGGTGGTCTCGGCCGTGGCGTTGGCAGCGCCCCCCCCCAGCTCCCTCTGTGATCCCCGTGTGTTTTTGCCCACCCCACACTTTAATCTTTGACCTGGCTTACCTGGTTCGTAGTAAATGGAATTTTTCTGAAGTATTTATTGAATTACTCTAGCGATTTAGCTTTCAGAAACTCTCCTAGGGATCCAAGAGAGGGCCTTTAGAGTTACTGCCAGCCCAGCCCCAGCGGCCCTTGCCCCTCAGTTGCGTGGTTAGTAAGGGCCTGGGGGTGTGGAGGGGCAGACGGAGCATGTGCACTTAGAAACTGAAGTTAAAAATAAAAACCTTGGGGGCTTGTGTGGTGGTGTCGCGGGTAAAGCCACTGCCCCTCTCCACGGGCTCCCGTCTGGGTGCCAGGTCGAGTCCCAGCTGCTCCGCTTCCAGTCCAGCTCCCTGCTGATGGCCTAGCAGAACAGCAGAGGGCTGCCCTAGTGTTTGAACTCCTGGCCACTCACGCAGGAGACGCAGGCGAAGCTCCTGAGCTCGGCCTGGCCCAGCCCTGACCATGCAGCCATCTGTTAGGTGATTTTATACAGGATCTTACGCATTTTAAGGCTGTGGGGGCGGGGGAGACCACAGATGGCTCGCTCTTCGGCTGTTCCCGCTGCTTGCGCCTGCCACCTGGGATACATCCCCGTCTCACGTCGCCTTTGCTCGTCCGCAGAGGTCCTACAGCAAAGAACTGTTCGAGGAGGTGATCTCCAAGATGCGGAAGGCGGGGATCAAGTCCACGATCGCCATCGAGAAGTTCAAGCTCCTGGCCGAGAAGGTGGAGGAGATCGTCGCCAAGAACGCCCGCGCGGAGATCGACTACAGCGACGCCCCGGATGAGTTCAGAGGCGAGGAGACCCCCTGCCTCCCGGCCCTCCCTCCCGGCCGTGCCGTCGGTGGTGTTGGCACGCGCTGGAGCTGCTCTCTGAGAGCTGGGTCTGACACTGGCCTGGTTGTAGCTCACAGCCCTGGGGGTTTGGACGGCAGCAGAAAAGCGCTCCTCCCTCCCGAGGGGCGCACGCGGCAGCAAACGTGCCCTCATCTGGTGCCGGTTTCCTCCCACTCAGGGGCCCTTGGATTGCTCCTTGCTGGGAGGAGGGCGTGGCCAGTTGCAGGCTATATTCGTAGGTGACGTCTGCGCGCTGTGTCTCTGCAGACCCTCTGATGGACACCCTGATGACTGACCCCGTGAGGCTGCCCTCTGGCACCATCATGGACCGTTCCATCATCCTGCGGCACCTGCTCAACTCCCCCACCGACCCCTTCAACCGGCAGCCGCTGACCGAGAGCATGCTGGAGCCAGGTAGGGGAGGGTGCGGCCGGGAGGAAGCCGGCACGGTCATGCTTCCAGGGATAACGGGATGGCCGTTGAGCAGAGTGCCTGGGTTCATTACTCAGGATCCCAGCCTCCTGCTGTTGCACCCCTGGGGGGGCAGCAGGTGATGGCTCAAGAACTTGGTCCTGCCACCCGCGTGAGAGGTTCAGACTCAGTTCCAGGCTGCTGGCTTCCGTCTGGCCCTGCCCTGACTGTTCGAGGGTGTTGGGGAGAGAACCTGCAGCCAGGCGATCTCTTTCTCCGCCTCTCTGCCTTCCAGACGCAGTGCACTGGGTGGGCACTGGGACACTGCATCCCATGTCGCAGGGCGTGGGGTCGAGCCCACCTCCCCTGGCATCTGGCCTCCTGCTGACGGGCCTGGGAGGCCGCAGTGGTCACTGCTTGGAGCTCCTGGCCCAGTCCCAGCTGATGCGCCGGGGGAGTGAGTCACTGTCTCGCTTTAGCTTTCAAATCAATAAGTAAATAAAACTTCGATTTAATGAAAATATTTTTTAAAATCTGTAAAAGGAGAGATGACTCGAGAAATTACCACATCCGGAAACTAGCCAGCGTAGAGCGCTTCTTGTGGGAGAGGCCCGGGCACCCTGCCGCCCCGGCCGGCCGCCCCGCGCTCGCTGCGCGCTGACCCTGCCCGCCTTCCTCCGCAGTGCCCGAGCTGAAGGAGCAGATCCAAGCGTGGATGCGCGAGAAGCAGAACAGCGACCACTGAGGCGGCCCGCGCCCACCCTCTGCAGAGCGGCCGCGCCCTCGCGCCCCCGCGCCCCCAGTGACCAAGCGGCGGCGAAGGCGAGGGCCGCGGATGGGAAGAGGAGCCGGTTCCTGTACATATATTTAAGGGACGGAGCGGCCGCGTTGTCGGAAAGCCGGGCCTTCCACCGAGCCTCCGTGCAGAGGCGTGGGCGGCGCCCCTTCCTCCTCGTCCTGTCCATTGATTTGATTGTGATTCGATGACCCTGGACACGCTGCTGCTAGCCTCGGCGCACGGCCGCGGCTCGACCCCCGCTCCTGCCCCGCCCGCCACGCACGTCCCTGGGAGAGAACTGTGCCTGCGTCAGAGTGTTCGTCCTGGGCCGTATTTTTATATCACAGTCACATACTTGTTTTTTTAATTGGTGTTAGATGACGTGATTAATAAAAAAGAGGCAAGATATTTTCAGAATTTGAATTTCAGGTTTTTTTTTCCTTTGGAAATGTCCCTTTTGGGTTTGTTTTTCATTTTCGTTTTTTTTGTTTTTGTTTTTGTTTTTTACGCTCAGCAAAATGGAGAGAATCCTGGCGCTCTGGTCCTTGGCGTGGGCCCTGTCTGGGAAGGCGGGGACCCCGTGGCAGTGCGGGGCGGCCGCGCAGGACTTAGGGTTTTTTGGGGGGAGGGACAAGGGTTGGTTTGAGAGCTGGAAGCCTCTTCGGATAAGCTCCTCACCGCTGGCGTGAGTTCAAGCAGGGTTCCTTTTGGGGTTTGGCCTTACCAAAGCGAAACAGGTGCCAGAGTCACAGACACACACACACACACACACACACACACGAGCCGAAGACTTTTTGTATTACCGCTCCCGACTCAACATACTTGAATCCCTGGAACTCCTCCGGGGTACAAGAGGATTTGAAACCGTAAAGTGTTCTGGAGAATTAAGTCCACGAAAACATTCTTTCCATTTTCTTTTCCTTTTCTCCCCCCACAGACAATGTCCTCTGTTCAGTCCCTGACGCTGACTACAATAAATGGTGATACACGCCCGGAAGCACGCTCCTGAGTCTGTTCTTCGGGGGGCGCGCAGGGGCGGGTGGTGAGGGGAGCACCTGCGGCAGCCAGTGAGGAGCGGCCGTTTCTCACAGTGCACTCTGGCACCCGGGTCATTCCACGGCGTCACGTCCAGCTCTCGCGCCACACTGGCTTTGGTCGTCTGCCTCTGCCCAGTCCTCACTCCGTCCTAGGTCTTAGTGAGGTCCCGCCCATCTCAGTAGCATTTCTTCGGAGCTCTGGGTCACAAAACCAATGCTAACAGCACTTACAGAGGCTTTTTCCTCATGCCCAGGCCATGGTGGTGGTTGGGTTCCACCCTCCAGGAAGACTTGGAAGTAGGCCAGGATGTGGGGTGGGGAGAGGCTCCCCGACTTGTCCAGGGCCGCTGGCTGGGTAGTTGGGACCAGGTGCCCAGGAGCCAGCGCCTCTGCTCTGCCTCTGTGTCGTGTCCTGCTCTTGAGCACGTTTGGATTAAATCGCTTCTTTCCCTCCAAAATGTATTCCTTATACGACATACTCATTATAGCGATGGAAGTAAGCAAGTGAAGAGAATGAAAATCACCCGCGGACAGGCACAGGGGGTTAAGCCACAGTTTCGGACACCCCGATCCCATATCAGTGCCAGGTTCAAACCCCAGCGACGCCACTTCTGACCCGGCAGCGGGAAGGCAACCAGTGATGGCTCAAGCATTTGTGTCCCTGCTGACTACATAGACCAGGATGGGCTCCTGGCTCCTAGCTTCAGCCTCGAACCTACTTGAGGGCATTTGAGGAGAGAACCTGTGGGTAGAAAATTCTCTGGCCTGGTGCTGTGGTGTAGCCAGTAAAAGCACTGGCTGTGATGCCAGCATCCCATGTGGGTGCCGGTTCCTGTCCCTGCCGCTCCGCTTCCGATGCAGCTCCCTGCTAATGCGCCTGGGGAAGCAGCAGAAGATGGCCCAAGTCTCTGGGCCCCTGCACCCACGTGGGAGACCCCAAAGAAGCTCTTGGCTCCTGGCCTCAGGCTGGCCCAACTCTAGCCATTGTGGCCATCTGGGGAGTGAACCAGCAGATGGAAGAATCTCTCTGTAGCCCTGACTTTCAAATCAATAATAAAATCTTAAAAAAAAAAAAAAAATCCCACCATGAGCATAACTTAGTTTACTTTTTACTAAGCTTCCATATGTGTGGGCCTGGAAAGTTAACGGTGTTTGCTGGCATCTTGCCTAATCCGGTCCATTTATTTATCTCGGGAGTGTGTGTAGCCCGTCTGCCCTCCACCCACACTGCAAACTCCTGGGAGGCTCCGATTCTGTCCTGTTGAGTTCCGCCGCCGTCCCCCGTGGGGTAGGATGCTGTTCTGTGTCTCCGCACGCACTGGGCGCTCGGAATGTTCAGAATTCAGAGGTCGCCAGGAGCACCGGTGTAGAGCAGGGTGGGGGTGAGCTCAAGTCTCCTCCCTCTGCAGGGGCAAAGTGTTCGCAAGTTTTGTTTTTGGAGTTTCATTTGCTGTTTGGTAGAAACTTGTGTTTGCCTTCCATCTGTTTTGTTTTTCTTTATATATATATATATATATATATATATATGTATATTAAATTCCAGAACATTCTAAAAGGTCTAGGCTAAAGGGTCAAGCAGGAAGAGAGCTTGGATGGCCGGCAGAGAAATGACGGGAGAGGAAGGTGACCTCGCTCTGAGCCTCGCCGAGATGCGGCTCTCTAAAAGGAGTCGAGAGAGCATCTTTAGGAAAAAGGTGAACACGTCGCCTTGTTCCCCTTCTGTAAGCGTGGCGTTCGGCACGTGACTGGTGTTGGGGTCTCCATTCATCTGGGGGAAGGAAGCCATCCAGGGCTGACAGAGGCTGCTTTGTGTCTTGTGGATGTCCTGTGAGCAAGACACATAAGGTCACTTAATACAAAGGATGAAGGAGATAGGGTGGCGGCACGGGGGGTCTGGTCCTGCCACGGCTCCTAATGTGGGGGCGTTCCAGAATTTTCCAAGTCCAGAATTCTTCAGAATGGTCAAGGGGAGTCAGAGCAGCAGCACAGTCTGGAAGGGGTGAGGGGAGACGGGCAGCTGAGGTCAGGGCTGGTGTGGGCTGGGCTTCTTTTGTTCTGCAGGAATGGCAATCATTGGGGGATTCTGAGCACAGAAGTGACAGGTTCTCCCCCCTCCCCGATGAATGAACGAAAGAGGAAGAGAGACAGGCAAACAGCGAATAAGCTCGCATCGCTGGTTCACTCCCCAAGCAGCTGCAAAGACTGGGAGAGCCGGGAACTCCCTCTGGATCTCCCGTGGGGTGGCAGGGACCCAGTCACCCCCAGGCACTGTCGCCACCTGGGGTCTGCATTTGCAGGAGCTGCAATCGGAGGCCGGGGCCAGGGCTGGAAGCGGGGCACCGTGATGTGGGATGTGGGTGTGTTCATGTGGGGGCTGAGCACCTGCCCCAGCCAGTTCTAGCATCATTCCAGCTGCTGTTTTGAGAAAGGAGGACGGGAGAAGCAGAGAGCCGCTGTGGTGCCAGTGGAACCACTGGGAGACCGCCAGCAAGACCAGACTCAGAGCAAACGGCAGCAGGCCTGGGGAGCAGGGTGGAGGCTGGGGTGCACTTGGAAGGTGGGGCTGAGAGGTCAGTGGCTGGGCTGAATGTGGGGAGACCCGACAGGGCCGAGGACTCCAGGGTGCTTGGTCTGAGCGCCCTGGAGGCCGGCGTCATTGACAGCAACGGGGGGCACAAGAGGAACAGGTTTGGGGCGACATCTAAGGAAGTCAGGGTTGCACATGTGAGGTCTGAAGGCCTTTTTCTTTAAAAAAATAAATAAATAAATTATTTATTTGAAAGGCAGAGTTTACAGAGAGAGGGAAGGTGAGACAGAGAAAGAGAGATCTTCCAGCCACTGGTTCACTCCCCAGATGGCCGCAATGGCCCTGGTTGGGCTGATCTGAAGCCAGGAGCCAAGAGCCAGGAGCTTCGTCCAGGTATCCCACTTGGGTTGCAGGGACCCAAGGACTTGCGCCATCTCCCTCTGCTTTCCCAGACCCATTAGCAGGGAGCCGGATCAGAAGAGGAACAGCCGGGGCTGGAGCCGGCGCCCACATGGGACACCAGCATTGCAGGCGGCGGCTTTACCGGCTGTGCCACATCGCCAGTCCCCTTGAAGGCCTTTGAGATGTAAGGTCCAGTGTCTACAGCAGGAAAGAGGCCTGCACCAGAGGTTTCCTTGAGGGTCAACAGCGAGTGCCTGGTGGTGAATCCAGGCTGTGACATTAGAATCACCCAACCACGTAAGACGCGAGCCGACCCCAGGGCCAAAATCCCCTCCAGAACACTGGCTGAGTCCCCTCTCTCTGTAACTTTACCTCTCAAATAAATAAAACCTTCGGGGGGGGGGGGCAGTCCTGTGGCATAGCAGGTAAAGCCGCTGCCTGTGGCTCTGGCATCCCATACGGACGCCGGTTAGAATCTCGGCTGCTCCACTTCCGACCCAGCTCCCTGCTAGTGCACCTGGGAAAGCAGTGGAAGTGACCCAAGTCCTTGGGCCCCTGCACCCACATGAGAGACCCAGAAGAAGCTCCCGGTTGCATGGCTTCGGATCGGCCCAGCTCCAGCCGTCGCAGCCATTTGTGAACAAACAAATGGAAGACCTCTCTCTCTCTCTCTCTCCCCTTCTCTCTCTCTATAACTGCCTTTCAAATAAATAAATATTTTTAAATATACAGCATGAAAAAAATCACTTGCAAATTCAATAACTCAGTAAAAAAAAATCAGAGATTTTATCTAGATATCTAGAGATCCCAAGAGCAAGTGTCCAGGAAGATGCGGCAGAGCTGCCACCGTCTGTGACGGCTCTCCTCACGCGCACCACGTGGCGACGGGACGGGCACCGGGGAACCACCGTGGACCAAGAGCACAGAGCAGGCCTGAGCCCGGAGGAGCTCTGACCCAGCCACGCACCTGTCGCCAGGTCCAGGTTCGTTCCGCCCCACAGCTACACGCTCTAGCCTCTTGATTTTTAAGAAAGATTTATTTATTTGAAAGGCAGAGTAACGCGGAGGGAGAAAGAGAAAGACGGAGAGAGCGCCACCTGCTGTTCAATCCCCAAATGCCCACAGCAGCCAGGCCGAAGCCGGCGCCCCCGGTGTGGGGAAGCGGCGTCCGGACCGGCTCGGAGGCTGCCCCTGCGCCACAGCGGCCTCTCCTCCACCCCCCCACCCCCACCTGGCTTCTTGGGTTTTCCTGCCTCTGCCTCTTTGCATAAAAAAACTGAGTTTGCACCTAGGTAGTCTTTTCAATTTGTTTCCTGCTCATAAAAACTAAGTTAGGATTCAAAAATCTTCCATGTTAAACTCTCTCTCTGTCCCTTTTCATTTAAACTGAAGGTGCTTTTCCTTTAAAAAAAAAAAATATATTGGGGCCGGTGCTGTGGCGCAGTGGGTTAACGCCCTGGCCTGAAGCGCAGGCATCCCATATGGGCGCCGGTTCTAGTCCCGGCTGCTCCACTTCCGATCCAACTCTCTGCTGTGGCCTGGGAAAGCAGTAGAAGATGGCCCAAGTCCTCGGGACCCTGCACCCATGTGGGAGACCCGGAAGAAGCTCCTGGCTCCTGGCTTCGGATCAGCACAGCTCTGGCCGATGCAGCCAACTGGGGAGTGAACCAGCAGATGGAAGACCTCTCTCTCTCTCTCTCTCTCTCTGCCTCTCTGCCTTTCAAATAAAATAAGTAAATTTTTAAAAATGGCTTCCTGCAATTGTTAAAAATATTTATTTAGTTGAAAGGTAGAGTGTCAGAGGGCTGAGGGAGAGAGAAAGGTCTTCCATCTGCTGGTTCACTCCCCAAATGGCCACAACAGCCGGAGCTGGGCCAGGCTGAAGCCAGGAGCCCGGAACTCCATCCAGGTCTCCCACATGGGTGGCCGGGGCCCAAGCACTTGGACCATCCTTTGCTGCCTTCCCGCGCGCATTAGCAGGGAGCTGGCTGAGGGCTGGGACACGACGCTGGCCCCGCAGCCGCCGGCCCC